CTAAAATAAAACATTGGCTAGCTTTGAGGCACATGGAGTTTCAAGATCAAGTTAAGCGTGCATAATTATTAGAAATATCTCCAAACAATGATCTCCATCTTATTATAAATCGAAACAAAATTTTCAGATTATCATGCCCATGTCGCACTATATAATGTTATAGCATGCATGTCAGATATCTAATCGTTTTAAAGACAAAAAAGGCATACGATGAAATAAGCAATGTCAATTATTTTAATTGAGATTTCTGATAAAAAGTTACAAGGATAATTTAAATTGCAACTTTGAACTATACTTTTTATCTTCAACGTGATCGCTTTTTACACATGATCAAAATAACAATGTAGATATTATTTTAAGTTTTCAACTTCAAATTTTAATATACATTTTGTGAAAAAATTATGATACAAAGCATCTATGATCTTTACAAAAACATCTTAATTTTTTGAATCACCAAAAATATAGGTACAAAGTTCAAACATCAAAATTTTCAAAATCGTGATGTTTTGAATATATTTTTTATTTTTTTTCATCTGTTTAAATATTATATCTTAGATGGTCCTACAATTTCAAAATAAAATTTGAATTTTTATGACGATCAAACATGAAAGAAAGAGTTCACTACAATAACAAAAAATAAAATACCAAAACAATACAGGTAGCTAGCAAGAAAAATATGACATTCGTCGTATTATGTCCACTCAACCTCAACAAGCTTTGCTGATAAAATCTTAACTTGTGTTGCAGAGACTTACAAGCATCTTTCAAAAATTATTTAGAATATCAATTGATTAGCTTAATCAACAAGGCTTAAGCTAATGAAAGTTGATATAAAATGGACTTTATACATGAAAATCATTCTTTTGACTCACATCTTCAAAACCATTGATTTTCATAAAGCATTTGATTCTTTAGAGAGATTATCTAGAAGAAAACCGACAAAGAATTATCTCAAAACTAGAGCGAATTAAAATCATAGTCATAGAGTAAAATCTGATAAAGAGATTACAAGTTTGATGTGAACTTTAACTTGTGCTTCTTGTGCAAAATATGCAAAGGAGCACAATGTATTCTAAAATTTTTAAATATAATAATTTGGGTCAATGCATGAACTGGATTTAGTTTCTCATCAATGTGTACAACTTTAATCTTCTTATTGAGACTATATCGTTTTATAAAGCGATATTATATGTTGATGTATTTCATAGCTTTTCATATACTCTATATGGTGCAAGATATAATGGACTCTTCTTATCACAATAAAGATTGATAACATTCTATTGTTATCTCATGTCATTGATCCTTGTCATTTCAAAAGATTCATTTCGTATTGTGATCATTTTTGTCCTAAAGATATATTGTTTGTTGTAATGGGATATTTCAAGATGTTTGTTTCACTTTATTTTTGGTTTACAAAGACATATCTGTTATAATTAAAGGATTAGAAAAATAATGTGAATTCTGAAGACCAGGTTTTACTTTTTAACTCATAGTCCCTACAATCATCCTTATTCAACACAGTGCATTCTCAAAAATCTAATTTTAGAAACTGCATCCAAGTAGACTTATATATTTGACTATACATATATTATGATGCAAATGCACAATTGGCTTCAACAGATATATTAGATAATGCATGAATTAGTCTTTTCAATTATCAATAAGGATGAATATTTGAGTCATATATATCAGTTTATTTCTCATTGAATCAACATGATACTAAAGGGCCTATGATATACTCATATTGAGTTCAGATATGTGAAAGACTGAATACATCTCTAACAACTCGTAGAGATTCTCTTGCATATTGATTGTTATTTTGAATCAAACACACAATTTTGTACATTCATTTGTCATTAACTGTTCATACATAATTTTTGGATCTGAATTGATCACAATGTGACATAGAGTGATATTTTCATAATCAACAAACCATGCAGTGTGATTGCTGTAATTAGTGCCTGCAGATCGTCAAACTCAAGAATGTAACTCGCGTTTTGCTTTGGATTGGTTGCTGTGGCTTGAGATGAGATGTTGCCTCCATAGGGAACACATGGACTTCATTTCATTCACTTCACTTCATTTTTGGGATTCAGGTCTTTCAAAGTTGTGCCAACGCATGCTCGAATGATGGCCCAGTTTACCATTTGTGAACATTTTAATCTTTACGGCATTAAGCTGGAATGCGTTCTTTATAAACAATGGGGTCTGTGCAGTTCCTTGGAGGTAGTTTCTCAATGGCAGCGACGGCTCAACTTGACACTTTCCTTGTACACGAGAGCATGATTCAAAACTTCTTCTGTTCTTTCTAGAGGAATGTCTCAGTTCCAATAGTACCCAATGCTCATGACTCTCTTCATATTCTCAGAACGTCATTACGCAAATCCATCTGCAAAGTTTACAAAAGTTCATATACTACGCAGCCATAAGTTATCTACGACAGTTCTTACTCTACGCGTAAAGGCCCCATCTCTCTTGCTAGTATGCTGAGATTCGCGTTAGCGTAACTGATAATTCAATGATAAATCATCGCCATAATAGATTTCTACAGATCATAATCTGTAGATGATGCGATTTGACCCGGGCAGGTCTACACAGTACCGGAGTAGTTGCAGCTAAATCGGACAAAGCAGAAAAGACTAACAGACCTTTGTTTTCTATTTTTTGTAATTTTCTAACATAGGGAGGCATAGATTAGAATACATTAGAATTCATATCAGCTAGCTAAAACATAGATGTGACCATTCGAACACCCTGGAAGCTGACTGTAGGCAGCCTTTGGTCAGACTAAATCCCAGAGACTTTCATCTATGAGGACTGAAAATTTATAAGTTTTTCGTCATATTCCACTAGCTTATTTCACCTTGCGTTGATGATTCATTCTGACATATACTGTTATAAACCAGAAGTTTCTGAGGACGACGTGCTTCAGAACTAATGAACATTTCAAGTCTTCCTTCCTATTTGGCGACCATAACGGAGTCAAATTCGGGTGGACTGATGTCAAAGGCCGAACGAGAGATTATCTTTGGAACGTCGATAGTGGCACTTCTTTATTAGAATAGGAAATTGTCAGGATATCGAAGGCAAAGTTAAATTATCAATTAGCCTCAGTAGAAATTGGATTGATCATGTACGTTTATATAATATAAATCTGTACAGTTGCAGCAGTGTGAAATCTGGATTCTTCAGGAATATCTCTCTGTCTTGAAGAGGTTGTACATGTCGCTTTTCTGTTCTGGTAAAACTGGTCCGCAGGCATAGTTCTCATAGGGTCGATTCTATGTATGCAGAAACAATAGTCCTTTCGATAGATAAAAATAAAACTGGTATTTTCTGTGAAGAATTGCAGTGCCATTCCCTAAACAGCTCGGATTGTAATGATCAGAACTCCGTCCTGGACATATGCATAGAGGTGTCTAGGCATGCCTAGACACCTTGTGGAGGAACAGATTTTACTTTGGAGGAACCATTTCTGAGATCTGGTTCCTCCAAAGTAACCTTATATGGATCTTTGTGACTCATTTCCTACGCTGTGATTGACCTTGATCTGAATCTCCTATATCTAAAAGCCAGTTCACAGACATCAGAATTATTGACCCCCTGGCGGGTCCCAGTAACTAAAATATGAAAGACCAAGATCGTGTACTTGTCTATTAACTTCACTGGATGTCAGTCATCGCACAGCACTCACTTTTGGAGGCACCACACTCTAAATAATAACCGGTAGTTAGCGAAGGCTATAGAAACTCGTTCAGTTTTAGTACGAAAACTCGTAGATAAATGACTCAGGATGCAGAGTCTATGTGGAAGAATCAGGATATACCAGTAAATGTTGCTAAGTATATGATCTCGCATCTGCGAAATCCAGGGCAGACGATTGCAGATTATTCTGAACCATAGGAGCCAAATTAGGCGAATTGCTTTTGCTTCGCAAATGCTTAAGTCAATTAGCGTCACTTGCTTCTGACAGACCCTGCTGTCCGAAAATCCCTGTCGCAGATTTTAAAAGTACTCACAAAATGCATACATAAGCGATACTGACTGCCTCAGCGATTCTGAACCTCGCTGCTTCATTTATCAACTTCTATACACGTTTACTTGCAATATGCGTTTGGAAGATCGTACTACAATGGGATAAGAACAGACAAGAAGAACGGGTTGAATTTTCTAAGCCCAGAAACTGTTAAAAAGGAAACGAAGACTCAACTCTGTGAATATTATAAGATAAACGCTAGAGTCTAAGCACTACTTACTATAGTGGTCCTATTGCATAGGAGAACAGAGTCTCGAGAATATTTTTATCTACATTTTCATTCGGAAAATTTTGAGAAGTCATGTCTCACAAGTTTATCAACTCGAGCAAGGTGACAAGATCTTTCGTCACCTCATCTCTGTTCTACGATGTAATACTCGACGCTTTATTAGACAAACACGATCCTAAGAAACCGTCAGCTATATTGAATGGGAACCTTACATCCAAGGGTTTTGACTCCACCTCTGAGAGACCAAACATCTCAGAGTACAGTCAACACGAAGTCTGGTACTATGTGAACAGCACTCATTAGGATTCCAGCCGCAAAGGCTGCAACTGAGCAACATGCTATATAATAATGGTTGTCAACGGCCGTCATAGAGCTCGTCGGAATTTGAAATATATAAAATCTAGCGATTGGATCGACATATCATAAATACAGCAGACCCAGCTCCATGTACATTAATTTATAGACAATTTTCTTCATCCTTGAAGTTAGATCGATAATAAGACAATCAAAGGGCCAATGAATCTTAGACACGGGCATATATTCATCTTATGGAAGTCCACAAGAAAAATTACAACACTTGAATTCTCCCCAGGTTGTGAACTCTGTGCAATGATTACAGCAATTTCTATGTGCTTGCCCGATCCCACTTTTCACATCCTCACTGGTTACGGAACCTAGAAGCTGGACACTATAAATATTTCAACCATTCTAAGGTTGCTCATCATTCAGTTCGAACCTTGAGCTCCAGATTGCCAATTGAAACACAGCAGTGTTCGAGGTTTACTTTCTTGTTCTAAACCTCTACCTTCGAGGTCACTCTGAAATGGCATCTTCCTCTATGGCGGGTCAAGCAGGATGTCTGCTGTTTGGAATGCTGCTGTTAGCATTCTATGGAAGTCTTGTCCTGGGATCTGATCCCGACATCGTCACCGATTTTGGTATCAATGTAACATCGGGAGCAGATCTCCACTTCACAGGCTTCCGAGATCTACCAGAACAACCCACGGGACAAGTACACATCACGTTCGCTTTCGACACAGAATTCCCCGGCGTGATCGGTATGGGAATCGCACCTGCACTTTTGAAATTTGGTACGGACTCAGTCAACTCGTTCCACACACATCCTCGGGGCGCTGAGATTTTCGTCATCCTAGATGGAGAGCTTGATGCTGGAATTGTTGACACAGCCAACAACCTGTACACTGCAACGCTCAAGAAAGGAGATGTGTTCGTGTTCCCCATGGGTTTAATGCACTACCAGATCAACCGAAGCAAGACGAAGACAGCCACTGTCCTTGCAGCTTTCGCCAGCCAGAACGCAGGACGTGTCAGCCTCCCTCCCAACATGTTCAACACCGAGCCCCGCATTGAGACCGACATCATAATGAAGTCTCTCTTCTTGGATAAGAAGACCGTCGAGCGCTTGAAAGCTTCTGACTTTCCCACCTTCGCATGATGATACTCAGAACTAACGGTTTCCAGCCTCAGAACTGTCCACTTATAGTCGTTCTACCATATACAGACATACATAAATAACTACTATTAATTCTGAACTGAGGATTACACTGCACGAAGAGATTCCATGATTATGCTGGTTCTAAGGCATGGAAGGGATTAGAGGAATAATTCCTCGACTGCAGCAAGTTGCATTTGTAATTTTGAACTTTTGGATACCAGTCCATCTGATCAATATATAACCAGTTTTGGGTTTGTGACCCCTGAATTGTGATATGTGTGTAGTACTTAGTCGAAACATGTCGCTGTGGTAGAACAGAAAATCTTCCTTTCACTTCCTTACACAATATCATGATGTGTTTGTTGTTGAGTGCCCAATTGACTGCTTAGCAAATAAAGCTATATATATAGCATAGCAATCAGTGATTTTATCTTTATGCTTCTTTAAGATATCCATCAATCGAACGTGTATTCGTATCCAGACAACTTTGTTTGAAGACCTGAACAGAATGGAAAGAAGGTCCGATCATGATATGTGTGCACTTGTATTCTGAAATTTCTGCTGTTGATTCCAACTGTCTCAACGTATCAGAGTATTAGTAGGTCCATGCTTTTTTTTCCAGAGAGAAAACCAAGTCGTTAGTACAACACGTCTAGACTACAGAACACACAACTTGCAAACGCAGCGAGTTCACTACTTTCGGAAGGTCAACTTGTGAGAGACTTGTTTTCAACCAGTTCTCGGGGAAGATTTCACTGTCTAGTCCAGTACTATGGAAGCTTATCGGTATCTGCAACGAATTGAAATCGTAAAAGATCCGTGCATCCTAGTCGCATCCAAGGGAGTTCGTAAACTGCCATTACAACCGTCGATTCTGTTATGCCCTTGTGATGATGCTTCTGGAGATGTGAGCAGAGGATCCAGGATAAGGAAGGACACCAATGCTTCCCTGGCTTACAGATTTTGTACATCTTTCAACAAAGCACGTCCAGCATGGATGCTGCACGTGAAGTGCTCTTGCTCTTACGAGGATGCAATGCACAGAAGATAGAGGCCAATCAGTTCCTCTGCTTTTTCAGTTGGATGAGATAGCCGATACACTGAAGGGGTTTTGCAGCCATGAAGGTATTGGTGAATCTCCTACAATATGAAATCTCTAAAAACACTTGACAGGTGTTTTGTCCAAATGTAAAAAATGAACGAGATTCTAAAGTCCACAATCAATCTAATTATTCACAAAATAAATAATCAATCAAGTAGAAAAGTCAAACATAAGAATAGTATTTCTTTTGCATTCATATAAAGATCGATTTTATTAAAAAACTGAATTTGTCTTATTTACTACATTGTGTTCCCGCATGTAGCCCAAAGTAATCAGCCTTTTGAATATTAATAAAACCTCGAACAACACATTATCTTATATGTCGCTCAACTGCCTAACTACGTGATTGGAGAAATTCTGTTCTCGCTGTATAATGAAATATTATCTCACATAAATGATTGTGGCAAGAACCATGATTTATTTAGAAAAGAAAATCAAAAGCGTTTACAATTAATTTTACAAAGACAATTCTGTATATATCACAAGTTCGATAATATCTCAGAATGAAGCAAAAATAATACATAATAAATTTGGCCTGTTTTCAGTATTGGTCGTAAAAACCGTTTTCATCTGTCAATCTTAAAACTGATGTTTATTGATTTTTGAGAAAAATAACAACTTGTGGACACTTTTGGACAGCAAATTTTTAATTTTAATAATTCTTGTAGAATTTCTATCAACGAAATGCTTATTACGCTAATATATATGATAAGATGTCCAAAAAGAGAAAAATACACTTTAAATTCATTTTGAAAAATCAGTGAACATTTTCAAATTTTTCCATGTAAGATTTAAGAAATTACAATGTAAATCTATAAATTTAAAATCAAAAAAATTCGAAATAAAAACATCAAATTTGTTAATGAATCATTATCAAATTAAAATAATTTTTTTTTTTGAAAGCAGTGTTGAAATTTAATCATTGCATTTTTGAAGTGACAGAAATCAATCAAAAGTTTAGCGAAAGTAATGAATATTTGAACTACCTACAACAATAAATGATAAATAAATAAAAGATAATTAAAAAACCTATATATTTTGAGAATAATAATTCAAATTTACAAAGAAAAATGTAAGCTGTAATGAGGAAGTAAATTTTTTTTTATCACATGGTGCAATAATTTGAATTCTCATCAATGAATTCTTTTGATGATGAAAAAAATTATATATGTTGTGAGCAACCTTATAATGATGAACGAATGATTGCTTTGATACTTTAAAAAATGTGATGTGTTATACATTTCAAATTTTAACACAATACAATGTGTGAGCTTGAATATTTTATATATCAGAATTTAAAATTTATGAACTGAAGTTTTGATACAAAAACTTCATACAAGATAAGAATCAAAAAAATAAGAGCTCGCATGAGGATGTAAAAAAATTTACAAATCAAGTAAACCGTTTTATAAAATCTTTGTTTATAACATTCTATAATACTAAAATTCAATGTTTCCTTCATTGCAAAAGGTTAAGAAGATACAACTCGAGTTAGTTAATTTTGTAAAAAGGCTAGTAAAAAGGCTAGAAAGTAATTTTGTAATTTTTTTACAAAAATTCTTAAACTTTTTGTTCTATATGTCTCTATGTATTAATCAATAGACATGCTTGAAGTGAATAAATTAAGCATTTTCTTTATATAACTAAAGTATAATGTAAAATGTGGATTGAATGAGATAAAATCATAATAATTGATCACTTGAAATGCATACATGATCTTAAAGACATTGATGAGTTTCACAAAAGTCCAGCATATTTTTTTAGATATTGTTATTTTGTTTGTATCTCATAATTCTGCAGGGTTTTGATCTTGCAATTTATACAAATGACTTGCAAATCATCTATTTGTACTCTTGGCAATTTAGTCAAATATACTGCAAAGAATTTAAATCATATGTTTTTCAATGACATATTAAAATACGCAGAGAATACTAAGATCAATATTAAAAATAAAAGGTAAAAAATGTGTACTTTTGTGTTTCTATAGATATTGATTATTGAGTGGAAATAAAATTAACGAAATTCACGAGAATGTCTTGCGTTATTTACCTGTAGGTTGTATAATTGTACTTATTTTTTTTTGGAAATCTTTTTAATGGTAGATAATGATTACAATCCAATATTACCAACAAAATTGAGTGCAACCTATCTAACATATACAGTTTATGCTGTTACTTATTACCCATACTCAATAGAAAATCATTCCGATGTCAGTTCTTAGAAAACCGAACATTAATTATTGCATCAGTTTCAAAATTTATTTATTTATTTATGTTTCGAAATTTAGCTCTATAATCTGACTTATAGAGTTTCAAGACATGCAGTTTCAAGTTGTAGATCTTTGCATTTTTTTTTTGCTAAAAATGTTCATATTTCTCTTGAGACTTTCATATACATGATGATTCTCTGTATATTCTATTGAAAATAACATACTTGACGAGTAGTATCATTTTTTCAACCATTATCATTATTATGCAAAAGAAACCTTTTTTTGAATGTTAATCTCTGATTTTAATATATAGATGGTTTTTTAATTGATATTATTTACAATGAATCAAAAGAATATAATTCATAAGAAAGAACAAATTATTCAAAAGAAAAATCACTTAAAGGTTTTGAAAAGATGTTGTTTATAGAACAGATTGTTGAATTTTTCCTTTAAAATTTATTGATATCAAATACACATCAGCTTGGTTTGCTTTCAACATTCAGATTGAATCAAAATCTTTGTCTGAATTACATTATAAAAGATCGTATATAAGATTAAAAAACATGTTAGCATTTTTCTAGCTAACAATTTTTCATCTAGAGCTTCAATATGAGGAATTGATACCACATTTTGATATTGAAGTTAAAAAATGTGCTAAATTGTGATTAAAAAAGGATATTTTTGATCATATGATAATAATAAATATTTCAATATAATGGAAATAACTTTTTAAAAGAATATACATACAAAAAATTTCAAGAGTAAAAAAACAGTTATAATTTTTAATAGAAATATAATTTGGAAAAAAAATTTAAAATTCAATGAATATAGTTTCTTTCAAAATTCATAAAACATCAAGCTTGATTCCTTGAATTTCATAAAATCATTTTAAAATTCGAATTATGATATAATGAAGAATTAAAACTCCACAACATTGAATTAAGAATTATAACAGACCCTATAAAAATTTTATAATTTTTGAAGTTTAACGCATAATTATGAATTATTACCATTTCACATAATTATTTACGCACTTAATATTTTAGACCGTTATTTAAAAAAATTTGAAATCTTTAAATACATCAATATACCTTAAAATATATATTTTACAATATAGTATGTAGAATTCTATTGATGATTTTATTTAAACAAGTAATGGATAAAAACTATATTTAATAAATGATATGAGATTTATTTTACAACTTCATATTCAATAATTTTTTTTCAATCCTTATTTCAAATTTTTTTTATTAGACTTGTGCACAATATTGGGAGTTAACTAAGTTGTTATATACTATCTAGGTTAGAGTTTAGGTTTAGGATTTCAAATAATCATAAACACAAAAATCTTGTAACACTTTTGTTCACATGAACTCAAGTTGGAAGTTTGATCTAGTAAGCTTATATATTTCCAGAAACTTATCAGAATCTTTCCTTTTTTTGTCTGACAGTGCCTGGCCCTGTCAGACAAAAACATTTCTCGGCCCTACTGGCCGAGAAATTTAAGATTTTTTATATTTTTAGGCATTCTGGTTTTAATGTTGCAGTTTATTTAATATTTTCTTCTTCTTCTTCTCCTGCAGTCAACTTTTGACACCATTAGAATTAAGTCACAAATGGATATTGATCATAGTTATTTAAACTTTTTATCGTTGTAGGACTTATACTCTCATACCTAAGTAAAATATGATCCACTTGAGTAATACATCTAAGAAGTTTGCTTTTTATGAATATGTTAGTGGTGTGAAAGGTTAAAGATCTTGGGATTCATAAGCCTGTAAAATTATTTTGGGTTTTTGATGAACCCAAATCATTGAAATAGTAGGGGGTGTTTTAGTTTTCTAGTATGCACAAGAACAAATGTACTGCATTTATATAAGTTGATAAGTGAAAGATTGATCATTATGAAATTAATAATGTGACACTAGAAAAAGTTCTAACACAGATGGATCAAATTTCTAAAGAGCAGAAATTGGAAAAACATATTATCTTTGGTGATATTCAAGTAAGGGTATTAAACAATAGAGCTCAACCAAAATTGTCTACTAAGAGATCATTTAATTATAGAATTTCTAGATTCATAGAATTTCTTGGAGTTATGAATTATGACCTGATTCATTGATTATTAAAAATCATGATATTGATATTGAGTATGATGATAACAGCGGTTGATCTTGGAAGAAGGATAGCATTATTTGCAATTGGTGATAACAAGACTTAAAAATCTTCTGAAAAATCAACTTTGATTGATAGTAAATGGATGTAGAAGCTAATAACAATTTTTTTGCTAATTCAAAACAAAGTTGATAGCTAGAAGTTTCATATAAGAAAAAGATGTGGATCAAAATAATTTTTGATCACCTATTGTAAAATATGTTACGATTTTAATGCTATGTGCATTTGCTTCAAATTTTAGCCTAGTTATGGATCATATGCAGAATAGGGTGAAACATACTACATCATGTTTTACATTATGCAAGTTCTGTGAAAGCTACTTTGACTATTAAACACAAAAAACTTATTTTTTGCATGTTTATTTGAAGATTGAAGCTAGAAAATTAGATTACATGAGAATGACGCTAAATTCAACTGAGCTGATGCAATATGAAAAGTTATTTCTGGGATAATTTCAGCAGATTTTTTGTTATTTTGCAAGTTTTGCATGAGAAACAAAACAATTACAACTTATCAAAAAATTTATAATCTTCATGTATATATTGTTTTTATAAATTTTTTTGGCTACGACTTATTTAAGTTAGCTCTAGTTCAAGTAGTAATATATGGTAATTTTTGTAAAAGAATTTTTTTGTGTAGAATTTAGAATAAAGATTTAACTGGTTAGACTAAATCTAAAATTGTCTTAGTATGAACTGTAAGTTCTAAAAGTTTAAAGATCTCAAATAACATGTTGAAACCTAAACATTGATACAATAAAACTTCTAGAACGTTTAGATAATCAATGACATATAGTCACTTGAAGAGATTAATCAACTTTACCAAGATTTATTTTTGTAAATCTTGGTATATTTGATTAAATTTGATTAAAATAAAATATCATGTATCATTATGGTGATTTTAAAGTAGTATAAAAGGAGAGCTAGACAAGAGATTATCAAGAAAATTTAAAAAGATCATTGTGTGAAAATTTGTACTATTAATAATAGTTTGAGTTCCGCTGTCATCTTCAAGTGTTGATGAGTGATTGAATTTGAGAGATAAATGAAAAAAGTTGTGTGAGAGTTTGTTTGCAAGATGGAAATATAATACAATCATGAACAATCAAAAAGCCATATGAGATAAATTTGAATGATAATTAATTAGGAACTCACATTTTTGGTTCCGTTGACAATATTGAAATAAATTTCTTGCGCGACAGAAAATGAAAATATATGTGATGTTGACATTGGGACTAAGAGAGCAAGTAACAAAAAGCATACTTGAAATCAATGTATACTTTGTGTATCCAATAATCTTGTATCATGACTTAAAAATTATTTTGTATGTCCGTTCTTTTGAACTTGTAGATTTGGAAGTAGAGTGATAAAAAATTATAGAGATTAAAAAAATTACGGGAAGAAAACATTTTTTTAAATATTCATTAATTTTGGAGTGAAGAATAAATTTTTATAACTTCATTTTTAGATCTAAATTTTAGCAAAAATCATGATCGTTAGAAGTACAAATTGTACGATGTTGTGCATAAATTTTTACTGTTCATTATGTCTATAGCAAAAGTAATTTAGCTTGATCCAGTTATCTTTTCATTGATATGTACTATTCTTGTTCATAATCTACTCTATCATTCTTAAATACAATGTATGATAACATGTTATAAGAAAAAAGCTAGATTTTTATCATATCATTTAAGCCTAGTAAAAATACACTCATTTTCAACAAACATAGGTATAAGAATCTAAGCACTTTTGGCTGCTAAGATTGCATAAAGAACATAGATTGGACCAAATCTCTGATTCACATCACTAGAGATCTACAAGGGCATAGCATGAACTCAATTTAGTTGGAGTCACTAGCCTCGGAGTAATCCCACGAAGTCATGAATTTATTACTCAGCTTGAGCTTGCTGAACGACTCCCTAAATATCTTATTATTAAACCAGTCAGAATCTGTAAGATCACCAAATGAACTTTTCTAGGGTCTGAACTTGGATTGTCGACCTAAATTTGCCCTGGAGACCTAAATGTGTATCTAGGTTTCACGACACACCTGCGTCTGCTCTTTTGTTGGTCTATGTTGATATACAAGAGTAGGACCGCATCTGTTTATAAGTTCCTGTCATCAAGTTGCTCCTTTAGCGGGATTTGCCTAATCAGCTGCAAAAGTAAGCCTTTTGCATTGTACTCACTTTATGGACCTCTGGACTTCGAGCGTCTCCTCGTGCTTTGGCTCTTCAAGCATGTGTTTCTGGAACACACGCTGCCCAAGCCTTGTGCATGCAATAAATTAATGCTCTCGTGATGCGAGCATACCAACAGGGTCTTCCGAATGAACCGTTGTGAATTTATTCTTCAGTGACATTGAGAAACGGCAACGACTCAATATTTATATAGCATCAAGAGTATGTGGCAAAAATAGAAATTATACTGTGGTTGACGATTAGATCGCTGCCTTTGAATGAACGACGCTGCGCTGAAGATGTTTCAACCTGTGGTCGACATACCCTTGAACTGATCTGATGAAAGCTGTGATGAGGATCCCCGGTTGATCATGTATTTTGAGTATCAGGATTCTTCGCATTTGCAGCTTGTAATGTAAAGTCCTCCATAGTCCAGAATTCACACTATTTCGAAACTCGGAATACTCTATAATTGAAATACTCATTTCTTCGATTTCATTTTCAGTCAAGGCCAATGTTCACGTGTTTTGATGTTTATTTGTCTTGTTTTCATTAGTCCAAGCCATCGAGATTCTATATACCAGGCTGTACGCTGCATATCTTGATCCGGGCCGCTAACTGTGCCAACGTAACGTCGAAGAAGAGAACTGCATAGATTGATATCGCATCGCTTGCTAATCGTCCACTCAACAATCAACTTGTACACAACAACAACGTTCACTAGACAGCGTCGCTGTGTACAAGTGGACGCTTCCCTATTTATTATTGCCAGAATGTTCGTTCCATCCATAGAGTGATCGCTTTGGATTGGCACTTCTTCCCGATATGCAAACTCCACAGATGTTTTCGAGTCTTTTCTTTGGTATATAATGACTCTCCCGTTCCGCGAGGACTTCGGGTCCTAAAATTTTTTTCAAAACTACAGCGGAACCCAGAAAGACCCGCCACACATCTGTATATTGAAATCAAGTTTTAGAGATATGTGCTCGCTTGTTGGTTATTTTATTTAGTTGAGCCTATATGGTTATATCGACCATATATTCTCTCTCTCTGTCTCTCTCTCCCTCAATTTGTCTATATAATAGTTCGAAGAATTTTGAGAGTAGCCGCTGTTGGCAATGATAGACAACAGAAAGACAAAATATACAAACACCGACCATTGAGCAAGGTTTTCTAATGATAGAATCATAGTGAACAGAAACTCCGTCGATGTGTACAAGCAGTCATGAATTTGGGCTGGTGGTTTCGATATCGATGACCGGATTCTCCACAGATGTCTCAAAATGCGCAGCGGCGTGACGGTCATCTCAGAGCTGCGTTGTGCATGTTGACGAGGAAGACAAAAGAATTGTCCCAATCTGAATATGATAAAGTTTTTGCCGACGAGGAGAGATCCTTCTGGGGACGTGAACGTGATTGTGCATGTCTTCCGCCTCGTGGATGCTAATACATCTGTGGTTATAATAAAAGATTCTCCGTCTCACTGTCATCTGAACGGATGAGTACGGTTCATGCAGCACCTTCATTCTTGCTTCTGCTTCATTCACAATCATTTCGAGGTTCATTCCTTCCAAGATACCACTTGAGTGACGAAAGGCCAAGTTGTTCTGAACACACTGCCATCGCCTTCAGTTGTCTCCTCAATTCAGTGTGTTACAGTGCAGGTCTTCCTGGTCTCGAGGACAGTGAATTGTGATCATTTCTACTTTAATCTCGCGGAGGTTGTATGTCAGGAGATCACCCTGAAACGACGTGTCGGAAGCTAGAGGGGAGTGTGGTCTCGGCTGGATGGGAAGCTCGGTGTAGCTTACGCCTAGCCAGGGTAGCGGCTCGCTGCAAGCTTAAGGTGCACTGCAGAGATATACCTGCAGCAAAAGAAGACAAAGCGCACCATTAGGCACGGCCTGCGTGATATATGTCTGGGAAAGGTTCTGACTGTAGGTGAATCTGGTGATGACTCCAGCCATGTGGCAAAGAAAATTCTCCCAAAATTATGGAGATGTGGCGAGGCTCTGCAGGGACGATTGTATGGCAACAGCGAGGGGAAGGCCCGAGGAGGCGGGGCTTTTGCCTGTGGAATTTTTGTTCTCTCCTCGGACGAGCAGTGATGTCGTGATTTTCTGGAGGATCACAGGCCAACAGATTCACACTGTGAGACTCTGCGGAGCTTGACCTGCCTCCCCCATGCTGAACCTGGTGGGAGTGACGTCAGAAGGCGTTCACTGAGGAGTTTAAAGACTCGGAAGCCGAGATGTTTCTCACACCTCCAGCCTGAACGTGTGTGAGTGTCTTTCTTCTCCTTCAATTCGAGCGTGCCTGGAGCAGCTCTTCAGCCCTTGCATACGTATGGACCTTGTGGCTCTGAAGTGATGAGCTAAATCAAACTGAGAGAATGGTGGGACACGAAGAAGAAGAGTTTTGTTCTGAACACCGATCACACTGACGGCAATTGAATATTCAATTCGTCGACTTGAACGAGAAGAATTTGTGCTTTTCAGCCGAGCAAGATGAGTTCTCTGGAATTTGATGAAGCTGCTGACTTGGTACGTAGCTTCTCGAGCTTCTGAGAAGAATGCCCAGTTTTGTTTGGCTTTGATAACAGTTCTCTTTCATTGTTTAGAATCAGTTGAACTCGAACATTACCACCATCATGGTCTGAGTACTGCATCTAAGGAGGAGAGTATATAATTGAAAAGAGAATCCTTTGTCCTGAGCAATCGTGCCTTGTGCAGGAGCACATACCGGTCGAGGAAGTTTTCGCTCAGCTAAAATGTTCCCCGGAGGGCCTGACGTCAACAGAGGGCGAGGCTCGTATCAAAATCTTTGGCTACAACAAACTTGAAGAGAAATCGGTGGGAGCTAAAATCGAGATTCATGATTCAATTTTGAAATAAATTTCAATTATGGAGACTCCTAGATGACTTAAAGTGTGTTGAGTTGATTGACGAATATTTTGCTTTTGCATTGCATTTCAGCACTCTAGAAAGATAATTTCCCTGCAACCTTTGCCCTCTCGTCCATGTTTGAGGAGAATATGAAAACATCACTCTCATGTCCCAAAATTACAATACACCTTATCAGGCAGATAATCTTGAGTCAAACTCATTCATTGTATTGATTATATAACATGAGTTATGTTTGCTATGTGAGCTTTGCAGGAGAGTAAGATCTTGAAGTTCCTTGGTTTTATGTGGAATCCATTGTCTTGGGTCATGGAAGCTGCTGCAATCATGGCCATCGCTTTGGCCAATGGCGGAGTACGTTTCTTCCTAGTTGTTTTCTTTCATAAGCTTTCTTCACTCAAATTCAAGGAAAGGAATAGTCAAAATGTATATAGTGAATAGCCTAAAATATTCACAAGCTCTCTCTGTCTTAAATATTTAGGAGATGAGTACAGTTCGTTCATAGATGTGGAATACAATATAAACAGGATGGCTTCACGTGGACTGTCACCCATAAACAAGATATCTGAATGGTAACGCATGTATGCAGGGAAAGCCCCCAGACTGGCAAGATTTTATCGGTATCTTGACACTTCTCGTCATCAACTCCACAATTAGTTTTGTCGAGGAAAACAACGCAGGAAATGCTGCAGCTTCACTTATGGCCCGACTTGCTCCAAAGACGAAGGTATGTGATTTGATCAGACCTGCTATTTGTAAATCTTTCATTTAAGTGTTTTAATATCCAATAGGACTTGAAGTCTGGAACACCGTCGAAGCTTCGCACGTAGCTTCAGTGTCTAATTCTGGCCTTGTAGGTCCTTCGAGATGGCAAGTGGTCCGAGCAGGACGCAGTGATTCTTGTACCCGGAGACATCATCAGCATCAAGCTTGGTGACATCGTACCTGCAGACGCTCGTCTTCTCGAAGGAGATCCTTTAAAGATTGATCAGGTACTTTAAACCATCCCAACAATGAGGCTTTCCAAAGTCTGTTGAGTTTGAGAATCAACGGTAACCAAAATTCTACTGCAACAAAGCCATATTGACATTTCTCAATGATTGGCCCTATCACAGTCTGCACTTACCGGAGAGTCTCTTCCAGTCACCAAAAAGCCAGGAGACGAAGTGTACTCAGGCTCTACTTGCAAGCAAGGAGAACTTTCAGCGGTGGTGATTGCTACTGGTGTGCATAGCTTTTTCGGTAAAGCTGCTCACCTCGTTGATAGCACACACCAAGTGGGACACTTTCAGAAAGTAAGTAAGGAAGTAAAGCACAGATCGTTTTCGCAAATATTCTCTAAAAATTTTGATCTTTTCTTGGCGACAACGATTCGAATTCTTTTAGCTTCTTTATCCAATTATCAGGTTCTGATTCCTTGTTGACGAATGCAGGTGCTGACGTCGATCGGAAATTTCTGCATCGTCTCCATCGCAACAGGCCTGATCATTGAGATTATTGTAATGTACGCTGTTCAAAAAAGGAAATATCGAGAAGGAATTGACAACCTTCTGGTGTTACTTATCGGAGGAATTCCCATAGCTATGCCAACTGTGCTATCTGTCACCATGGCCATTGGTTCTCATCGCCTGTCTCAGCAGGTAAGATTAAGTGAGAAAAGGCCTGGAGCAGTGCATTGCTGCAACTCAGTTGCTAGTTAGCTCCGGTGAATTATTTATCTATGGCACTCTGGTGAGATACAGGAGCTAAACGCATGTGCAGTGCTTTATCGCTGATGATCAGTATGTGTTTCAGCAAGTATACACCACACTGGTAACAACTAACTCCATCATGAATACTTTCTCTGTAGGGTGCTATTACGAAGAGAATGACTGCCATCGAGGAGTTGGCGGGTATGGATGTGCTGTGCAGTGACAAAACTGGAACGCTAACTTTGAACAAGCTGACCGTAGATAAGAATCTCATTGAGGTATAACTTATTTCATTAATTTAATCTCCTGCATGTACAACCCTTCAACATTTCTAGCACGATACTCTTTAACAGGGATTCTAAAACCAATACTTGAATGCTGGGTTGCAGTGTTTCACAAAAGGTATCGACAAAGACTATGTGGTCTTATCGGCAGCTAGAGCTGCTAGGACAGAGAATAAAGATGCAATCGATACCGCCATAGTTGGGATGCTCGCAGATCCAAAGGAGGTAACTATATATATATATATGTTTAGATATCAGTCACATCAATCTCATTTGAAAATATATTGAGGTACTCAAGCTTGAGCTCGACAGAACGAATGCTAACAAGTGGTCATCTCTATGTTCAGGCTCGTAATGGCATTCAGGAGATTCACTTCCTCCCCTTCAACCCTACGGACAAGCGTACCGCCATTACCTTTATTGATCAGAGCGATGGGAAGTGGCACAGAGCTACCAAGGGAGCTCCAGAAGAGGTCCAAAATGCTTCCTGGACTTAAAACTGCATTCAGTAGCCAAACACTTCAGTGGAGGAGAGCACATTATTTCAAAAATTAAACGTTCCGATCAGCAAATTTGCTTTGTTACTTACTGAAGTCTTTTTCCAGATCTTGGCTTTGGCGAAGAACAAGGATCAAATTTCTGCCAGGGTGCACACTGTCATTGACAAATTTGCTGAGCGAGGGCTTCGATCCCTTGCTGTCGCCAGACAGGTACAATCCTCTTCCACATCTTCTTTGTCGGAATAAGTTTCAAGGTTGAAGTCTTTCAGTGATTCGGAGATTGCAAAGACACCGAGATAAAATTAACATTTCCGTGATACTTCTGGTACTTCAGGAAGTACCTGAAAAAAGTAAGGATAGCCTTGGAGGTCCTTGGGAGTTTCTTGGTCTATTGCCCCTGTTCGATCCACCCCGTCATGACAGTGCGGAAACTATTAGCAGAGCTTTGAACCTAGGAGTGAACGTCAAGATGATAACAGGTATACATTTCAAAATCACGTAGCTTGATAAAGATTTATTCATTTATGATTCTATCATCTATTTCTTCCACTGCTTCATTCTTGGCTCTCTTTATCTCTCACTCACGTTTTTCTTTGGTCAATAGTTCCTTATTCTAGAATTTCTTTCTCAAAAACCTGTGAAGAGGTATTATAAGGACAACCATCTGTTCCAACCATAGACTTCAAACTAGGGAGTATTAACATGTATTCGAGCCGGATTGAAATCAGGTGATCAGCTGGCTATTGCAAAAGAAACTGGACGGAGACTTGGCATGGGGGCCAACATGTATCCATCTGCAGCACTATTCGGAAATAAGAAGGATGCAAGAATATCAGAAATACCAGTAGATGAGCTTATTGAAAAGGCCGACGGATTTGCCGGAGTCTTTCCAGGTACGGAACCTTCATGTTTGTTTGATAAAACTTTCTGTTTAGCATGATCGGTGATTACATTGTAAACGGAAAATATATTGAACTTCTAGTGACTTTGTGTGACCGAAACTGTGCAGAGCATAAGTATGAAATCGTCAAAAGGCTACAGGAGAAAAAACATATCTGTGGCATGACCGGAGATGGAGTGAATGATGCACCTGCATTGAAGAAGGCAGATATTGGAATTGCTGTTGACGATGCTACCGATGCAGCAAGAAGCGCGTCGGACATTGTGTTGACTGAACCTGGTTTAAGTGTTATTATTCATGCAGTTTTGACCAGCCGAGCCATCTTCCAGAGGATGAAAAATTATACGGTAACATTATACTCATGCCTCAAATTTACATTTGCAACTATCATTGCAGAAATGGAAATTCAGTCGCTTAGAACTGAGTTTCGGTCTCCGAAGTAAGATATAGGGATACATGTTTTTCTATTCTAATTTTCGCCATGGCGCTGATTGACAGATCTATGCAGTTTCCATCACAATCCGTATTGTTGTAAGTATCTCGTACACTTCAGTATTCTTTGGTTTCTCTTTCGGTTCAGTCATGGTATGCTGCAGAACGGAAATCATTTCCTTACTGACGAGTTTTACCTGTATACAGTTGTAATCTCTTTTATGAGTAATGGTTGGAAACATTAAATAATGAATTCTGTTGTCTGTGTAGCTTGGCTTCCTCTTGCTCACCTTGATTTGGAAGTTCGATTTCTCTCCCTTCATGGTTCTGATCATCGCAATACTGAACGACGGTAAAAATTTCTCAGACCCAAAAACTTCAGTACTTGATTTTTTTCTTAGTAATCAGAGTTTTTGGCTTTGACAGTCAGAACATTCATCTGAAGCTTAGCTCATGTCTCAACTACCAGCTTTGGGATTCAAATCTAGAATGATGTAACTCGACCTTCCGCTTCGATTATCATAAGGAAGTTTTGTAAACAATGTCAGGAACCTGAAGTCGTCTTTTGCCTGGCCTTCAGGAACAATCATGACTATCTCTAAGGATCGTGTCAAGCCATCTCCTCTTCCTGACAGCTGGAAGCTTGCCGAGATCTTTACCCAGGGAGTGGTAATTGGGACATACTTAGCGCTCATGACCGTCCTTTTCTACTGGGCAGCAGCGAAAACCAATTTCTTTGAGGTAATATTTTACTGTCACACTCATAAACGCGAAGTCCTTGCATATCGGACATCAACGGTTTTTCCTTTCAAGGATTACCTTTTTCGCCTGGCTAAAACTAGCTATGGCCAGCATGCAAGTACAAATGCATACCTAATTTTTCAGTTCAATCTACATAATTTACCTCTTTATGCAAGGGACTGACTCTGATATCTCTTCCTTTCTCTTCTCAGAGAACTTTCAACGTCCATTCTCTGAATGGATCTCATGATGAGCTCACAGCAGCGGTTTATCTCCAAGTCAGTATCATCAGTCAGGCTCTGATCTTTGTGACTCGATCGATGAGCTGGTCATTCATGGAACGACCAGGATCATTGCTCATGTGTGCATTCTGTATTGCACAACTGGTGAGTGTTGCGAAAGACCTCTGCACTGGAAATTCTAATTTTAAGTCATAATCATGGCTAGTTTGTCTTGAAGAAATTCAACCCATGATATAAGCATTCACTTTCATAGTGCTCTTCGAACCCTGGTTAGGATGATCAATGAGAATTTCAAATACCAAAGACTAGTAGTAAGAGTCTTATTGAATCAAGATCTTTCTATGCTGCAGGTTGCCACTTTGATCTCTGTTTACGCAAACTGGAGCTTTGCTCACATTAAGGGAATCGGTTGGGGCTGGGCTGGAATCATCTGGATATACTCCGTTATTTCTTACGTTCCACTCGACCCAATCAAGTTTACTGTCCGATATGTTTTGAGTGGAAAGGCTTGGGATCTGATGCTCGAGCGCCGGGTACGCAGAACTTTCTGACATTCTATAACAAATCACTGCTGTCTTTTCACTCGGAGATGTATGGTTTGTGCTGGTACGTAGCTGAATCAATTTGATCAAGGACCAATTTTGTTTACTCTAATTCTATCGATTTGTTGTAACTCAGACTGCTTTCACTTCTAAGAAGGACTTTGGAAAGGAAGATCGTGAGGCACAGTGGGCTAAGCAACAACGTACCCTTCATGGCCTCACTCAGCCTGGTTCTGAGGTCGGAGTTGACTTCCATGATGTACCCGAGCTAGCGCAAGAGGCTAAACGCCGTGCCGAGGTCGCAAAGTAAGTGGAATTTTACATTGTACAAAATGGATCCAGGAAATCTACACCACTTACAATCTTTGCCTCACCCCAGACTTATAATGGATTCAATGTTTTCTTGGTTGCCAGCATCAGTTCCATTTGATATTTATGACAGAAGAATTAACTAGCTCTCCAGCCAATCCCGCGAAAAATTTACGTCTGTAGTAGTTTTACTTGAATATTACATTATTGCACGCAATCGTTGGAAGGGGTGAAATACTAAAACATCGTTCGATTTTTCGTACTGCGCGAGGAACAGGTTGAGAGGTGAAATTACATCATTGGATGATGATACGGCCTCCGTGAAGGGAGAGACTGAGAGGTACAGATTTCGAAAATATTCCGCAAGCCTGTCTGGCCGACAGCTCTAGATAGAAGTGATTAGTCAGTCAGTCATCCATCGACAATGTTTTTAGTGTTGCGATGGAAAGGCATAGTTTTCGAGCGAAGAGAGCATGGACTTGTAGGAATATCACGAGGAGTACTCTCTGTCACTTCCAATAATTCTACTCAAGCTGATCTCTAGGAACAGGACGTAGATACTATTCTCCAATTTGCATTAAGAGAAGGATGGTAGTTCTGTGAGGTACAGCACTTCTTGCAAACTTCTGTCAGTTTGTACCGCAGACTGTCTTGTACGTTCACGTCTGTCATCAATATAAGACTGGTTCGCTTTTGCCCCTTCAAACAAAACTATCTCGATTCTCGATGCTTCTTGCTCTTGGAAAATCTAAACCTTTGCTGCGAGCACTGACCGAAGGCACTAATTGCCAAACCACGGCTGTCTTGGGTTTGCTTTTAACTTCGGACCTCAGACTCATGACTTCGAGCCGACGTTGCTACTCCATATATATAGGAGAGGATTCTTCAAGAATGCACATGCAACCACAAAGTTGCCAGCATGAGTAGTAACTAGTCTTCACCGTCCAGACGACTGAGCATACCTATCTATACTCACATTCAATTTACTCTCAGATGCATCATGAAGAAAAGTCAACCAGTTCTTTGTGTCTTCACGTTTCAGTTTATAACAGTGCAGGCCGGTTGGATGGTTTTGGAACTGTCTTTATTGAGTCTTCCAGTGCAAAATGTCTAGAGTCACTCTGGGGAGTAACGACCTGTTTCAGTGTTTCAAGGTTTCGTACAGAAAAACTAAGTCAAACCTAGAATGCCGAATTTTGTCATGCTCTCGTTTTAGTACATGGCCCCTCACTCCTGTACCTTCTGTGTCCCAAATGCCGGTATCAGAATCCCCATATCAAATTGTGGGCCCCTTTGTTTTTGTTTGCGTCACAGGACAGGTTTCTTCATCCATTTGTTAATACTATATTCACTTGTTTGGGGTTCAGCATATTGAAGAAAGCTAGAAGAAGAACCTAAGAGCTTTAGACAAATAACCTCTCATCACGAGGTCCAAAGGTTTCTCAAAGCACTGCCTCCCAAAACTTGTGCATCATGGTATAAACGTAGCTCATTTTTTATTAATGTGCTCAGATCTCGGCATTTCACACTCTAACCACTATCCGGCTCTACATTAACGAGAATGAATATCTTTGTGCTTTGCATGTATTTTGCACGACCCATGGGAACATAGTTTCACATTGTTATATTCCGATTGTTTTAATAAACTGGAAGGTGCAATTCAAACAGAATAAAGGAACCGGGTTTGCTGGTGAAGAGGCGAAGCCATGCATATCATGGTTGCAGATATATTAGTATTAGTAGGGATATCAGTTGTCATTATGACCTCACCAACCGATCTGGACCACTGCCCTAGGAGCCGTACAACATAGTGGACCATCACACGTCTCTTTAACCTAGCCTGATTTTCTTCATAGGTTTTTCGAACACGTGTGAGTTTTTGTAAATCTAATACGTTTTTCACACATCAAACATTAATAATACATAAACCCTTGGATCTTGAAACATGTTGCTCCTTATATAAAAACTCTTTCTTCTATATCACTTTCTTTTTTTCATCCACCCATCTTCATACCAGTTTCTTGACTTCTTGTATATGTGTTTTCGGTGAATCGTGAGTTTCAAATAAAAATGTGTTGATGCTAGAAATATTTAAGGTAGTCTATTCGTTGATAAGAAAATTTGGATACAAAATTAAGAGACTAATGCCATATTACACCAGAGAAATTTACACATGTAGGTAAAGGATACTAGTGCAATAAATAGCGAAGTAAAGATGCGATATTTCTCTGTGAACTCTGTAAGATGTTATCCACTAGTTATGGAAATAACATTATTATACCGAAAAGGAGCAGATCCAGTCTCTCAACCTAGACGATTCTAGTTCTTGTAAAGATGTCGTTTTTATGTTCAAGTCAGATTTAGAGTCAAATTTATCAAATCGGAAGATTCATTCATAGATTTTTAGCTATGATGTCATCAAGAAATTAAAAAAAATAATTTGAGTTGTCCGATATAATTTTAACATAAACTTTGTATAAAGCTTTACAGATGTACAGTTCTGAAGGCATATATTTTTTTATTCTCAAAACAACAAAACTTAACTATAATGATCAATTATAAGTATTTATAATTACTGAAGTCATTAAATGTATTGACATTAAAATTTCAATTGATTCACTTATTATAAAATTGATTGACTATTGGTGCATGATAGATCATTTTTTGTAAATTTTTATCTGTATAATTTGATGATTCAGAAAACAAATAAAAGTTTCAATAAATTTGATAAATCTAATTTAATTTTCCGATAAGCTTGATGGCTTGATTCTGATCAAGTTTATAATGATTTTTAATACTCACATTTTAATCTATTTTTAAAAATTTAAAAAAATTTAAAAAATTTAAAAATTTAGAATTCTTGTTTATTTTCCAAGTCTCTATTCCAGAATTTTAAAAAAATTTAAAATTTTTTTGATAAGAAGATCTATAGAACAGTAAGATAGTATAAGATTTAACTTCCAATGAAATTATTCTAAAAAAAATAAAAATAATCCTACTGTAGAGAAAAAATGTAATCCATCAATCTTATAAAAGTTATAATTATATTTTTTAATTGAATTAAGCATTATCATATCTTTATATTTCACTTTCAAAGCAAAAAATATCGCTTTCTTATACTTCTTCTTGATATGTGTAGCAATATTACATCTCCTCAAGTTGTTGATATTTTTTATGCTTTTATTGAACTTTTCACATATATGCAATGATGCTCAGGGTTACTCAGTCAATTATTTTACAACGATACAATATATAAATATATCACAAATTTAAGTATTCGTATATATTTTACATGATAAGCTCATAATTTCCAACATTGATGAATTTTTATTTTTCATTCAAAGCTTCTTATATAAATTTGACAATTGGATAAATAAAAGTGAAATTTTAAAACCATAAATGTTACTATATAGTAGATCATAAGTTTTCATTTATACGGTTTAATTTGTTATTGGATTCATTCAAGACATCATTTGATTAAAAATATCTAGTAGATTTGATCACAAAGTAGATGGGAAAATTGACATTTTGACAAATAAAAATGAATATTGAAAATAATGGAAATTTCCAAATTCATTTGAAAATTTAATTTAGAATTTTACTTTCAATGATTTCTTCTTACTGTTCAAACCTTGCTTAGATAGAGTTAAGGCTGCATATCTTTAATTTGTCATTTGCAGTGGGCTCATGAGCTACAATGCGTGTCAAAGCTAGTTATCCTTCCCTTATTGGAGCCTTTCGTGTACTCCTTTTCTTAAGGCCAACGTTCATTGTCGCATGCAAAAATACATTGTTAATTCAATAGAGATATGAACTTATCTTTTATGGAGGCCACTACCTAAATGAATGGCTTTTTGAATTAAAAGAAAAAGGCTTTTTCAAACCACCGTATAAGTATTAGTGTGGTCCTGACCACTGAGCAGTTGTGAACTGCTCTCTCACACCTTGTGTTCATGTTCACGTGATTGCTGCTACAGAAAGTCAAATTTTATGGTCTCTACTTAGAAGACTATATGAACCCTTCTAGATGTAAAAAAAGGAGGTGTATCTTACTAAGCCACCAAGAAGTCGTTGTTGCTAACGACGACTTCACAAATGTAGACATGGCAGATCTCACATATATGGCTATTATTACGCCCAACCCTCGTAGCTTCGACCCTTCGTCAAACTTGGCAGAAAATGACAAAGTTCTGAAGATTAAAAGATATTGAGATTACTAAGTCGTTCGAATTGGAGATTGTTGGGAAGCCTCACTTCACTACTTAGTACACCACGCAGCAGGGCATATGATATGTAGCCTAGAAGTTTCACAGGTGCTCAGGTATGGTTCTTACAATAACTATGAGCTGCAAAATTCGAAAGTCATCAGAAATGTATAGTACTCACTCCTAGTAGAAAAAATTATTGCATCTCACATCTGCATGGACTAACTTTATGGATCAAAGTATAAAGCAAAAGCCCAGATACATTTAGAAAAATCCAATTGGGGATAAAAAAACAAAACGTGAGTAAATCTATCTGCTTTCTAATCACTATTCTTCCACCACAACTTTGACGTCTATTGCGTGCAGAAAGTCACATGTTTCAAGAAATCATCACCAACCTGGAACTATGTTTCTCAGTAAAAAATTCGGAGGCAGGTATAGATGAAACATATTGACCAAATTGTTCATGAGGGATAAGAAAAGCACATTCTTTGACAAATGTGCCCATGTTTTCGTCCAAAAATTCCGTGCATCTGCAAAATGGATGGATTCGTACGTTCGAGATACTTTCATTAGACTCTATTAGACATTTGCCTCTGACGTCACTACACTTTATGTTGGACATATAATGCAAGTATCGAGAATTGCATTGGACATCAACCATGATGTCTAAGCTATAGTTTCTTGAGTCAGATAAATAACCACTCTCTCTATCAAAAAGTGTGAATTACCTTTCAAGCAATATTCGGGATGTGAGGATGAATCATCGATCTTTTTAAACTCCAAGATCACTTTCTGGAACGATCTAGTATCCTGAATTGGATCCGTGCATATGAAATTAGTCACAACGACTAATTACTCCACCTATATCCTCCATAGCGCACACATATTGGTCTTGATATAAGAGTCTATTACTTTCTCTCTTGCTTATATGACCATTCTATCAAATGACAATACGAGTGTAGCGATGATCTCAACTCAAGGAAAAGTAACCCTCACTCATATGTAAGAAGTAAATGCTTCATCAAGTCTTATCAAAAGCCCATGGCTATCTTAATGCATGGTGTGAGAAGTGAAGGTAGAGGATCACTTGATTAACCATACATCTAAAGCTTTGCTGGTGGAAACATGAAAAAAAACTATATTCAATGGAATAAAACCCTTATGGATGAGGGATGAGAATATTATCTTGGTGTAATCTCATCCAGGAATGATATCTACATCTACTGTCCACTATCAATGACTAGATTTTCAAAAGACGTGTGGTCATCTCAGGAGATATGATGGCCACATATATAAGATGCTGAAGGTCACTTGAGCGTTTCCCAATTGTGAAGGTAGTCAGTGTGCCAAGATTCTCTCATAAAGCACAAGTTGCTAAGAACTTCGACGCAGTAAAAAATTAAACCTACCATGAAAATCCATTAGAAAAAACTGGTAAAAACCAACTACGATACGACAAAATATATTTGTCATAAGAGGAGAAGGGTGCCAAATGTCATAAGAATGATATGGGCTACAAAGCAAACTAGGTGCACAACAACTATATCACTACAATATTACCTCGGGTCTTTCCTCCTCTTGGAATTACTCTACGCTGACTCAGAGTTTGTTATCTTGTCATGATGATCGTAGGACTCGCTCCAGTAGGCACAGGAGCGAAGAATTGGAACCAGTAAAATAGAACTCCGTAGTATGGAAAAGTTGAATCCTAGGGGAAAAAGGGAGAGGTTAGTTATCTCTCACTTTACTATATATTTTTCACTAATTAACCTTATAACACTACACAAACTATCAAATAAAAATATATAATGGAGTGAAAAATAATTAGCACTAAATGGAAGATAACTAGCCGTTAAATTTTTATTTTTTATTACCAACTACAATGGGATCAAATGTATTTGTCATAAGAGGAGAAGGGTGCCAAATGCCATAAGAATGATATGGTCTACAAAGCAAACCAATCGCACTACAATATTTCAACCGGGCTTTACTCTACGCTGGAGTACCTGTTAGACTGCAGGTTCTGAGACTCAGAGTCTGTTATCTTGTCATGATGATCTCAGGACTGGCTCCTGTGCCTACCGTCCGTGCTCACTCAGACAGAAGGGGAACCAACAAAAAAGACGACGTAATATGGAGAACATAGAGTCTACTGGAAGGAGTACAGGGTCAACTGAGCTGAACGGTTACATGCCTTCACGCTTTGGACATGATGTACCGCGAAACTGAAGACGATTTTCTGTTGTCATTTTCTCAGTCCATATAAAGTCGACGACGTCCTTTGTACTGGATTGTGAAGGTTTGACTTAATGGCGTTTTTTAACTCCTACGAACCGTTCACAGACCGTCGTCATTAACTCTGAGCTTGTGGGTATCGGATCTGCACCACACGCCGTCGATTACGTCCGCCCATAGCCCCAGGGGTGGGATTCTCATGTCACCATGTCACCAACTTCTGTGACATGAGAAAGCAAAATGTTGAATCCAATCTACTTTTGCTGATCCCGAGGCCCACTGACCTCGTGCGGCGGTCCCTTACGTCAACAACCTATGGACTCGGAGCGTATGTCAAAGATCCTGGGTAGGCGGAGGAGGCACCCGCAGCACCCCACGCTCGCTCGCCAAGGGCAGCAGAGAAAGATACGACCAGAAGAGTGAGATGAGGACCGAGGCACAGAGCTTTAGTGCGTAACCGATCAGAGTGTCCGGTGGCTTTGGGGCACCGGGAACAGTATCTTCTGATCGCTGTTGCCCTGTGTTTTACACCTCGCTCTGTTCTGCATCGGACGCTCACTAGGTAGGTCCGCATCGAGTGGCAGTGGGGGAGTCCCGTATCTAAGCTACGAGGCTTTATCCAGTCTCCGCTGCACGACTAGATTCTAGAGCTCCATGTAGGATGCGAGCGAATGTCTCAACTCCCGAACCAGCGCTTGATGATCTGAAGCTGAAGCTCAAAGCCGAATATACAGCAGCAGAAGTAGAAGCAGTATTAGCAGATTTTTCCGTCCAAGGCTCTTAATCATGGGAACTGAAGCTTCGTGATTTATATAAGTGACTGGTAGACAGCCATTAATTTGCAAACGCTGAACATGGGCCGGTCGACTGGTCGACCCGTGGCCATCATGTGTCCAGATGCGTCCTCCATCCGAAGAGGCAACTAGCTGAACATACGCTGAAGCAGAAGACGAAGAGGATGGCACAATGGCTAGGCGATCCTGCTAATCATTGATGAGATCGCACAGAACAGAAGGCACATGAATCGCGTACTGTTGGGTGTCTTACTTTTAGCTGGTGTTGCAACACTGTGCGGTGCAAACAATGCTTTTTCGTCTCGAATAATAATGGATGTGTGATCCGGGAGCTGCAGCACAGTAGCACACCTCCTCAACTGGCACATGAGGACAGAGAGCTGAGCAAGGGAGGTGTACTCGAGCACCCTCTTTCTGGGTCAGGTTCACCGATTCCCAGCGTAGGGAAAAGTGGCCAAAACCGCCAAGGTTATGGTACAGCCAAGATGACCGAGGCGCTGCGGATTCAAGATGCGAGTGGCAGTGCGAGACCTTAGGCCTGAAAGGTGGGGCTTTTGTCCCCGCTCCGAGGAGTGACGCAGGGAGAGAAGGCAACCACTGGCACTGGCAGCGACGCTAGCGTGGCTCTTCGAAGGCTCGAGTCCAGCCTCCCCTCGTTCTGCCCAGAGAATGGGCGTGAGTGTTTGAATGCGGATGGGAAGCTTTATATGTGCGAATTCCGCATGGCAATTTCACCTCCTCTTGCCATTCCTTCCCTAAGCTGTGCATCTTTCCTCCTCCTCTGTCGGAGTGTATCAAGGGGCAGCTTCTCACCTTGATACTTCCACTGCATGGCGCTCGTAGCCCAGCCTTGATTGGTCGGACTTTTAAACGGAGTGGAGGCTTGAAGACATGCACATGCAGTTTCTGGCTATGACGCTCTAAATTCAAATCAGCCTGGACGTGAACAATTTGTCGATAACAAAGTCCCAGTTCGTCTTCGCACGTAGGCAGCCATGGATGACAAGCTGGGATCCCTCGAGGCCGTCGTCAATGAGACGGCTGATTTGGTAAGAGAGTCTGAACACGACAACGTTTTGAGTTCTGTTCTGAAAATTCTTCCTTTGTTTCTGTCCAAATGTGGAGATTGTCGGGACTACGAGAGCTCGATGTCTGGAGGTCCGAGGGGTGAAGATTTGATAAATGCTGAGCATTCCTTACGTGTTGGAAACTTGCAATGCCACAGGAGAACGAGATTCTAATATATATTCCAAATTCCCGTTATATTTCAGGAACACATACCGATTGAGGAAGTCTTTACTCAGCTCAAATGTTCCACCGAGGGACTGTCTCAGGCCGAAGGGGAGCAGCGTCTCAAGATTTTCGGATATAATAAGCTTGAGGAGAAATCGGTGAGAGTTATCAATGCATTCACGTTTCTGTTCTGTCCTTTGTAAATGCACGTCGAATGAAAGCTTGTTTGTTCACAGACCGCGAAATCCGAGAGTTTTATCGAATCGCTTTGCGGCTGTGAGTTGAAAAATTAACAGCGACAGCAGTTGCCGGTCGCAAATTCAGAACAATCCGCATCTTTAATATGTCCAGAATTGTGACACGGTGAACTTATGTCGCTCATGATCAGCCGGAAAGGGCAATAGCAGCTCAGAATCTGTTTCGAAGTACGAAACAGATAAAGCGTTTGTTCATTTATAGAGAGAACGTGTGGTTCATCAAGAGCAAATGCTGCGAACTCCAGTCGTGCGGTCTTCCGACTGCTAATCGTCGATTTTGTGCTTACTGCAGGAAAGTAAGATTCTGAAGTTTCTGGGATTCATGTGGAATCCCCTATCATGGGTCATGGAAGCAGCAGCTATTATGGCGATTGCTCTGGCCAATGGAGGAGTGAGCACAAAGCCTTCTCATTTTTGCATTGAGAAACCTTGTCTGCTCATCATGAAGTTACTAAACGCTTTCATCTCTCTCCATTATGCCATCCATTTGAGCCGCACGTATTTCTGCTCATTGATTTTCAATTTTAGAACATTCTTCAGCTAGTTAAATGTTTTTCTTCTTTCACCGTTCTGTAACTAAACTTCACACGATAATTTTCCAGGGAAAGCCTCCAGATTGGCAGGATTTCATTGGTATCATAACACTTCTGGTCATCAACTCAACGATCAGTTTTATCGAGGAGAACAACGCAGGAAATGCTGCTGCTTCACTGATGGCTCGCCTTGCTCCAAAGACGAAGGTGAAGCTCATGAGCGTTGATTGGAAGAATTTATTTGTGGTAATCTCATGACAAGTGGTGTTTGAGTCTAAATTGCTTAACTTTGCCATTCATTCACCTAAGGGGGCAAATCTGTTTTCCTACAGGTCCTTCGAGACGGAAAGTGGTCGGAGCAGGATGCGGAAATTCTTGTTCCTGGAGACATTATCAGCATCAAGCTTGGTGACATCGTCCCTGCTGATGCTCGTCTCCTCGAAGGAGATCCTTTAAAGATTGACCAGGTGAGAACAGAAGACATGTGATATGATATACATGTGATATACAGTCTTGTCTGTTCACAAGCCTGAACCAATGATCGTCTGTAAGAACCACCCAAATTCATAGGCCTGAAATTGGAAGTCGTGTGCCTGCAGTCTGCCCTGACTGGTGAGTCTCTCCCAGTTACAAAGAAACCAGGAGACGAGGTCTATTCCGGATCTACCTGCAAACAAGGAGAACTCCAGGCAGTTGTGATTGCTACTGGTGTGCACAGCTTCTTTGGGAAAGCTGCTCACCTCGTGGACAGCACACATCAAGTGGGCCATTTTCAAAAGGTGAGGTTTACAATTAATGTTGACAATGATCTTTCCCACCAATTGTCTCTTTTGAGAAATTTAATATTCAGGAATGAATTGAATGATTAAGGAAAATAACAGAGCAGTGAAGCCCATAGAGGGCAAGAAAATAGAAGGTTGTAATAAGTTTTAAATGATGAGGTAGATGTAAAATCTTGCTTATACATTTCTGATCCAGACATCTCAGGCATAATTCTTTGAGTTCAATCTATCTGACAGTAACCCATTCGATGATGATGATCTGCAGGTGCTCACTGCCATAGGAAATTTCTGTATAGTCTCCATAGCCATAGGGCTGGTGATAGAAATCATTGTCATGTTCCCAATTCAGAGGAGAAAATACCGCGAGGGTATTGACAATCTCCTGGTGCTGCTGATTGGTGGTATTCCAATCGCCATGCCTACTGTCCTGTCTGTAACAATGGCTATAGGATCTCACCGCTTGTCTCAGCAGGTAACTTTTGATATGGCTCATCCTGTTTAATAGTACATTTATGTATGTTCCTGGTTTCACCAACCTGCATCTATCTCTAGTGGAGTTCAACCTTCAGTACGTGTGAAAGGTGAGGAAATGTAGTAATCTAATGAGACAGTCAGTACGTCTTGGATGGCGACAGTGTATCTTGCTGATCTCATCTTCTCTCTGGTTCAAACAGGGTGCCATCACGAAGCGTATGACTGCTATCGAAGAGCTTGCTGGCATGGATGTCTTGTGTAGTGACAAGACAGGAACTTTGACTTTGAACAAGCTGACAGTTGATAAAAATCTGATAGAGGTATTAGTGCCTGATTCAGTACATGTTCTTTGGCTCTTGTAAACTGATTTCAAGATAGCTTTGTCTTCGTTCATCCATTTCGTCATATTGAGACTGACTTGCATCTATGTGAATCGTTCAACCCATTGCAGTGCTTCGCCAAAGGTATCGACAAGGACTTCGTGGTCCTATCGGCAGCTAGAGCCGCAAGAACAGAAAATCAAGATGCAATCGACACGGCGATCGTCGGAATGTTAGAAGATCCTAAACAGGTAAGCTAGAAGAGCTCAGTGTTTTACCACAATTGTTCAGCTTTTGCAGAGTGCGGATTTTCTGTCGGGACTGCCAAAGAGTGACACATGATATCCTACTTTTTCCCAGGCTCGTGCGGGTATAAGAGAAGTACACTTCTTACCATTCAACCCTACCGACAAACGGACAGCCATTACCTACATTGACAGCGATGGTAACTGGCACAGAGCAAGCAAAGGAGCTCCCGAAGAGGTATGCACATTACCGATTCACTGTATGTAGGTTTGAGCTCTGCTATTTCTGGCCGTTCATGGGCATTGTCTAGAGATTCAGTAGTTTGATTCGTTTCATTATAATCATTCACCTTGCAGAGTTGCTTATTACCTGTTCAAGGCAGAACATCTGAAACTAGAAGAACCTGAGCATAATTATGGAGATCTGAACCTGATGATGAGATCCGTGCACGCAGATTCTGCACTTGGCTCATAACAAGGAGAAAATTTCTGCCAGAGTACACTCAGTTATCGACAAGTTTGCTGAGCGAGGGCTTCGTTCACTTGCTGTTGCCACTCAGGCAAGGAAATTGAATAACTATCTTATTATAAATTGCTAATTTTAGTTTAGCTATGGCTATCTACTAAGAGGCCACCTTGATGAATGCAGTTGTGACGTACAGAACGTGAAGTCTTTTTAATCCTCATTCCTCCCGTCTCATGCAGGAAGTACCTGCCAAAAGCAAGGACAGTCCTGGAGGTCCATGGGAATTCCTCGGATTGCTTCCACTCTTTGATCCACCTCGTCATGATAGTGCAGAAACTATCAGCAAAGCATTGAATCTGGGGGTCAATGTCAAGATGATAACAGGTTCGTTTCTGATCACTGATGAGCCCTTGACATCGTGTTCAATTCTTTGAAATACATTATTCAGCCTATTATTATACCGCACGCCAAGAAAGAAGACTGCTTCTCCTGTTATAAACTTTCAATCGTCCACATCGATGTGCAGGTGATCAATTGGCCATTGCGAAAGAAACTGGACGTCGTCTAGGCATGGGAACCAACATGTATCCTTCTTCAGCACTCTTCGGCAATCGAAAGGATGATGCCATGTCAGAGTTACCCGTCGACGAGCTCATTGAAAAGGCCGATGGTTTTGCTGGGGTCTTTCCTGGTAAAGTTGCAATTCCCCAAGAACCTTCTACGAGCAATTTCTGGCTTTTTGTGCTGTGGAATTCCACCTCGAGATTTGACACATTGGTCAATGGACATTGACGCATCTCACAGATTGGATTAACCTGAAGTCATCCTTTCCTTGCAGAACACAAGTACGAGATTGTCAAAAGGCTTCAAGAAAAGAAGCACATCTGTGGTATGACTGGAGACGGTGTGAACGATGCACCTGCTCTGAAAAAAGCAGATATCGGAATTGCTGTCGATGATGCAACAGATGCGGCCCGAAGCGCCTCTGATATTGTCCTCACTGAACCTGGTCTGAGTGTCATCATTCATGCCGTGCTCACCAGTCGAGCTATCTTCCAACGGATGAAAAACTACACCGTAAGCCACTCTAACAATCGTAATCAACGCTACGTGAACACCATTCCACTAGAATTCCGCAGAATTTCTCATCTTTGGTGACCTTCTTTCTTGTCTTAGACCACCTCAAACGTGAACATCAATTTTTCTTATTAATTTCCGATCATGTTGGTTGCAGATTTACGCTGTCTCTATCACAATTCGTATTGTGGTAAGTAATCAGAAACCCTTATGATTCACCTCTTTCTTGTTGTTTGAATTGGGACGCAAGGTGGAATTGAAAGAGGTTCTGATACGATTCTAATCTGTTTCTGCAGCTTGGATTTCTTCTGCTCACGCTTATCTGGAAGTTTGACTTCTCACCATTCATGGTTTTGATCATTGCCATTCTAAATGACGGTAAGTTATCGTTCCCGTCTCTCGACGAAAGTCTTCAGCATTTTTGCATATGGATGAAATAGTTTGGTCGGTATTTGCTATCGACAAATTCCTCATTCATTCTTATTGGCGTGTTCTTCGTCAATCTACCGTAGAATCGTCATCTTCCTTCAAGATTGCACTCACCATCTGCGGAATTGTGCTTTGACTCTCAGGTACCATCATGACTATTTCCAAGGATCGCGTCAAGCCATCCCCTCTCCCCGATAGCTGGAAACTTGCGGAGATCTTCACGCAAGGAGTTGTCATTGGCACTTACCTGGCCGTGATGACTGTCATCTTCTTTTGGGCAGCTGATAGAACTGACTTCTTCGAGGTAAGCTTGCAAACTCTTGTGCTCAGTGCACAGAAGCCCTCGACGATTGCCGCATAAAATCTTAAACTTCTTGCTGGAATGCAAACTAATGTGGCATTCTCCTGCGCAGCGAACATTCGGTGTAAGGTCACTACGTGGAAGCCCCAACGAGCTGACAGCCGCTGTGTACCTACAAGTCAGTATCATCAGTCAAGCTTTGATCTTCGTCACAAGATCCAGGAGCTGGTCGTTCACGGAGCGACCGGGTCTTCTACTCTTGGCAGCTTTCTGGATCGCACAGTTGGTAAGTATCATTGACTGAGACAACACTCTCTTCCATCGATTCTTGTTAGAACCCTCAGCTCATCAATTCCACCTCGATTGATAAAATTGGTTCTCTTTTCCAGGTCGCGACATTCATAGCAGTGTACGCCAACTGGGGCTTCGCTCGCATCACGGGTATCGGTTGGGGATGGGCTGGTGTCATTTGGCTATACTCCATCATCACCTACTTCCCCCTCGATATCATCAAGTTCGCTGTTCGTTATATTCTCAGCAACAAAGCTTGGAACCTCATGATGGAGCCCAGGGTACGTCTACCTCCGTCTTACATCTTCCTCTCTCTCAGAAATTACTCGGATTCTTCACGACAACGCGCTCGTACAGGCAAACTCAAATTTTCTTGTTTGTGTGAAGAATCGTGTTCCTAATCATGAAATGCGGCACTGAATGACTGTGCAGATGGCGTTCACCCAAAAGAAAGACTTCGGAAAGGAAGACAGGGAAGCTCAATGGGCTAAACAACAGCGCACCCTTCACGGGCTGGACAAGCCTGGGACGTCAGCTGAGGCAGAGAACTTGAAGGACGTGCCAGAACTCGCCGGAGAAGCCAAACGACGGGCGGAGATTGCCAGGTACATTTCGATAGCCAATCTCGATTTCTTCTCGTTCTAGAACAAGAATGCTTCCGAGAACGTCAGTCTTCTTCATATTGCTATCACCTCGAAATGCTCACATGTCCCATCTGTGAATTCTTTTCGATCTTTCGATTGTGCAGGCTTCAAGAATTGCTCACGCTGAAGGGGGCGACCGACGCGACTTGCGAGGTGGAGAGATTTAGATACAGAAAGTATTCCGTAGGCCGCCAAGTAGCGCTGTAGGATCGTGTCGTTTTAAGACTCTTAATAGAAGAGCACCAGGGACGCCAGATTTTCAGGCGTGTCTGCAAACAGGCAAATGAAACGACCTCTTTTATGGTGCAGATGCATATAGTCTCACTATAATGAACGATCCACGTAAACCGGCAATCTACCAGGAGGTCAAGCTTATTCTGATTTCCTTCTGGAAGGGCCTTCACATGTGATCGTTCATAGCAAGCTGCCTCAAAGTGTAAATGAACACCACATTTCTCCACATATATTCCAGCTCGATAGTTCAAAGGAACTATGATTTTCAATTCGCCATCCAGCGTTTTCCATCCTTTGCTTTGTGATCATGTTTAATGTGTATGGTTGTCACTTCTTCATTTGTAGACTCCAATCTGATAGTTTCAATATGAAACCAACATTTCTAGTTGGACTTGACTTCTTCAGGGACACCATTGTACCCCTTGCGATAGCACAACAGAACGATTCCTCTGTGCGCGCGAAAAGAGCTTGCGACAGAGCTCAGCCCTCTCCGATCTCGTGCCTGGCCCCTATTGGATGTTTTGCATGTGTCGGCGGCATCTCCGCTTCTTGATCATCAGTTTCGATTTTTAGTTAGTCTGTTGTGGTGTGGCATTGAGTTGGGAATCGAATCCAATTACAGTTCTCTCTCTCTTTGAGTAGTTCTACTTGACCAAATTAAGTGAAGAGGACTTGAGCAACATGTAGAGGGCGATATGTTCAGAGTCCATCGTTCATAAGTACAGAGGTTGCTCCCAGTCAAGATTATGCACAGTAATTAGAGGCAGACAATAATTCGAGCCTGAAGTTTGGTGTACAATGATAGTGTACTCTTAAGGTCTCTTAAGTTCAACACTGCAGTTTAAGATTGCATTATTTGGATATTAGCTGTAAAAATTTACTTTCTTGGTTGTGCGGAACTCGGAATATCTCAATTCCCTGTGAATTTAGATCAAAGGATTATGATTGTAGTTTCCTTGTGATCATTTTGAGGTTATAGAATGTAAGATGGAAAGTTCAAAGTGGATCGTGTGTGAATTGTCTTGGTGTACTTTGAACGTGGGATTGATTGGAGTGAAAAGCATGGTGATAACATACATATTGAGAAATTGCAAAGTTTGTGTGATCCATTTTGAGTTTCTCTTTCTCTTAATTGGTTGGTTAGTGCCTATCTTAAAATTCGGTCGTCTAAAAAAAGCCAAATTTAGCATTTAAAATATTATTTTTCCAATCTAAAAGATTTTTTTTTCAATATAGTTTATAGGGCATTCATATATTGTTTCGGGCTTACAAGTATGCCATTGGGTATTAAGTATCATCAATCTCACAAGTTAAAATGCCTTGGTTTCGGAAACAAAGTAGACTATTTGAGCGCAAACAATATTCTTTAGTATGCATTGAATTAACTTTAAACAACTTGCAAAAATCATCATATCAATATATTGTTTATTGTGTGAGATTCAACTGTTCATTCTTGGGTATGCAAGCAACATATTATTTGAATATGAGGAATTTGTGGCTATTAAAGTCTTCAATTATATTGCACATGGACTATCAAGGCTAATGCAGTCACCTTCACTCGTTGAATTAAAATGATATGTAATAATACATGTGTCTTATCAGAATAATTTCCGATGTCACTATCATATTATTGATGGGTTGAACAAATGTTGAGAATGAAAGTTCAAATAATAATTAGAATGCAAATGACATATTTTGCTCTAGATGCTGTAGTGTTGATGAAACTTTGGTCAAGTCCTTTCATTTCAAGCATTGTAGACAAATATAAATACCATATGTTCAAGTATCACAATGAAAAGCACATTAAAGATAACATTATTTGGCCTAAGAAGTTTTAAGATTAATATAGGTGTAATAATCTTTAGTTAGTTAGAACTAAAGTAGAGTTTACTCTAAATATTGATATAGATAATTTAGCGTGCATTAGCCATAACTGCCACGTAAGCGATCCGTGCATTTGGTAGTTAGAGATGGTGTGTTAGTTGACAGTGCCGCGTCAATGATCCGTGTGCTTGTTAGGTTAGGATTGAGTGTCTTAGTTAGTGTGTTAATTAAGAGCGACTCCTCAACAATTCGTGCGCTTGTTAGGGTTATCCGCCACGTCATCCATCCACTGGATGTAGTATGGATGGTGGGGATAAGATCTTATTTCATTGTACATGTTGGTGAAAGCTATATAAGAGAGAGTAGAACCATTTTTGGTATCTTTCATCTTCAGAGTTTATATTTTTATCTCCGAGTGAACTTCTTTTTAAACCCTAGTGTTACAATAGTTAAAATTTAAGACCTAAAGTTTTTGCACCAGTAGCAAAATAGTTTACAATATGTTTGCTATTTTCTCTTGTAATTATGTACGATCTAGTCTTTGATCATATCAATTTTGTCATAATTTTTCGCTATGTACTATTAAATAAGGTGATATTCATGCGGAAACTCCAAGATTTTCTCATGAAAAGAAAGGAAATCATGATATGCAGATTGTTTAAATTATTATACAATTTAGGTCAAAGTACAAAACAGTGGATCAAACGCTTCAATTTCATGCATTCTCAAGAATTCTTATGAACTATATATGATCTTTGTGTTAACTTGAAGAAGTTTCTTGATGCGGCGTTTGGGCTTATCATTCTTGTCTTGTATGATCATGACATGCTTATTGCAAATTCCACAAGATCAATGTTGATAAATTGAAGACTGAATTAAGCTCAACTTTCAACATGAAAGATCTAGGTTCAATCAAGAAGATTCTCTTCATGGAAGTACTTAGAAATCACAAGGTAAGAAACTTTTGATTATTTCAATAGAAGTATGGAGAGAAAATACTTGACAAGTTCAACATGGCGGACGCTGACTATGTGAATAGTTCATTGGCTGCTGAGTTTTCACTTTTAAGAGCACAATGTACTACAAATGTAATCAAAAAAGTTTTGATGTCTTCTTTCCATTATGAGAATGTAGTGGATAATCTCATGTATTTGATGGTTTGCACACGATCAAATGTAGCATTTTCTATAGGTAAAGTGAGTAGTTGCATGTGAAATCCAAGCAAGGTGCATTAGGAAGCAGTGAACTGGATACTTAGATGTCTTAAGGTTTCTACACGACATGATTTATTGTTTGATGTCAAAACAATGAATACAAAGTCACTTTTGGGATATGTGTATGTTGATAATGGGAGAGACTTCAACAAGAAAAAATCAGTAATTGGATATGTTTTCACTCCTACATATGGTCGTATTAGTTGGAGATCAATTTTTCAAAATTGCATCTCCTTGTCATCTGCAGAAAGTTAATATGTTGCAGCTGTAGAGCCAACAAAGCAAACAATCTAGTTGAACAAGCTTATCCTTGAGATAGATTGCCGCAGTACGATATCAATCTTCATTGTGATAATGAGATGTATTTCATCTTGCTGAGAATCATGTGATGGATAGTGGGATGAAGCACATTGACATCAAGTATCATTTTATCACAAATGTTATGTTTGATAACGCTCTTAAACTCATCATGACTGATGGAGAGCTTAATCCGGCTGATGTCTTTACCAAAGTGATTTATTCTGACAAGTTTTGAAAAAAGTGTGCGACTTTATAGATTTTGCAGCAGTGAGTTAGATTACATGATGGTTGTTATGTATGTTGGTTCTCTGTTACATGTTTTCAGCTACGGTTTAATTCTAATTCATCCTTGTTTGTTGGAAGAAAACTATGGTTTAGTTTTACTTTCTAGAACTTACCGCTGTAACTATATATGGATTATAGAAACTAATTCCTCCAAGTCTTGGGTTAAGGTAGAGTTTGTAAAAGTAAATCTTATCTTGTTAACCTTAGTTAGTCTAATTGTAATTAGGCTTGATACCTAGTTAAGGTTTAAAATAAATTTTTAATCCTAGGATGAACATGTTCAATTTAATCTCACATATACACATGTAGGAAGAGATATCGGAGTGCTTAGCTATGGAGGTACAATGTAACATTCTCGCTTTAGTGAAATTTTTATTTCAGACATTGTACTTTGCATTATGTGGAAATGAATCACGTGATTCTTGGTGCATGAATCTTGTATATATATCGGAAAAAAAAATGTAAAAAATAAATATATTTAACTTCACTATAAAAGGTAATTTGTAGTATGATTTTATTAAGAGTTGAATATTGATTCATAATTTAAAATTTTATGCTAAATTCGTAAATAATTTTAACAAAGATAAATTAAATATAAATAATACTACATGGAATCTGATTTTAAATTTTTGGTATTGGAAAAAGTTTGAGAGTAAGTCAGAAATTATATTTTTAGTTCTATGATTTATATTATGAAATAATGATTCAAAACTTAATCTAGTTAGAAAATATTACATCTGATTAGGCCACAAGATTTGATTATATAAAGTGTCATTTTCGTATACTTATATTGGTGTTGAAACATACAGCTAGTACGGTGTGACATTTGGACATCAGCATTTGGTAAATGAAAGGTAAGAATCTTCCATAAAACTTGAAACATCCATTATAACACATCTAATCATCAGTACTTTCATGAATTTATGTGAACCTGAAGAATGGACTGTATTGAATGTGCTGGGGACTCACCCTTGGACCCGGGAGCTTGTCCGGAGAGTAAACACAATCTCTAATTCCCAGAGGAGGCAATGCTCTCATGTCCATTCGTCAGGAACACCAGACAGACAGCCAGCAATGCCCGACACTGACATGATTCATCACTCAAACGAGTTCAGACAACCGAATCTGAAGGGAGCTCTACTCATGAGCCATGAACCCTCGGGCAGCAGCGATTCATGTGCGCTAGAATTTTTCTTATAGCATTGTACGAACTGTACCCGTACTCAGCAGCCCATAGCCGCCGCGTCTCGATCTGAGTCAAGCAGACAAGAAGAGTCAATGAAATGAAAAGGGCATGCTTTTCTCTTATTACGTGTGAATAAATTAGAAGGAAATTCGATCGACATTGTTAGAGTCGATGGTGGTCCGGGTATGGACCTGCCTACACCACACCTTTTGATTCAAAGTGTCCTGGTTGAGCAGGGAATAGAGCTTGTCTATAGCTTTAGTGAGCTTTTGGATTCCTGTTCAAGGCCCTCCCTGATCCCTCCCTGATCCCTCCCTTGGAACCATGCGTGCGGCAAATCGTTCACAACGGTCAGAGTACTACTGGAGTTGACGAAGTTATTTGCAGAGGTAGGTGTTGTTGGTCAAGGTCGAATCATCTTATTTCCAGCATTTTAGCGGTTCGTTTATTGCACCGTCCTCAGTTC